TTCTTGTTTTTTATTTTTCACCCAAAAGTTGTCAAGTTTAAACACATACGGTTGTGTTCAAATCTTAGGCAAGGAACTTGAAAACCACACTCCTGTGAGACTTTGAGCGGCTGCCAAGTTCCGCTGTCCCTCTGATGCCACCAGGGTCTTTTTTTTCACGTATTCCTCCCGTAAACACTTATAGTTCTATCTATCGTTCTATTAATAAGTCACATTTAGTTTTTTTAATGCTCCTATTCTCGGGGACAACTCTCTGAGTCCGTTCAGTAACAACGAAAACATGTTTGAGTGCCTCAATGATGTGTACCCTCAAAATAGATGGTGCAAACATTTTTATACCTTCAATAAATACCGCTAAGAGCTAATTCACGACGTTGATAACTTGAAAAAACCTATTAGTTTTTCTCTCCGCTTATTGGCAGTCGCAGAAAAAAGTTAAGAAAGAAACAGTTTTCCTCTCTTCAACTCACTATTAGCAACAAATAGCATTCCGTCGCCACAACAGGACTTCAGCACCCCATCCCTCGCGATCGTCCCTGAGCACTTCGCGTGGCGATAGTGAGCTTGAATCCGAGAGCCTGCTTTGTACACATTCCGACGTTTACCATTCCACAGCCCAGCGCGCGATCTCAACAGCCCAGCACGTACGAGTTTCTCGCTTTACAAAGAAAGTACGCAAGAACGCTGAAAATTACAGCGGCCAGAAGCTTTTCACCGCCGCCTCAAAGTGCCATGCTTAAATGTCATGTTGAGTTTACCACGTGCAGACCTTCGCCGCCGTCGCTAAACTGTTCACCCCCCGTGTAGCAGACGCCCCTCGTAGGCCTCGACGACCGTGTGTCATCTGGTTGCGCGCATGAAAAACAGATACAAAAGTTAGACGCCCCCGGAGACGGCGTTGCTCCACATGAGCGCTCTTACAACATGCGTATACACCTTGCATGCTTGCATGAAAGATTCAATTCCGTACTGTATTTTCGTGCAACGTCTGATGCCCAAAAAACGGTGCAGTCCTTCGCATTCCAGCAGGTAATTTTGGTGATTTTGTTATCAACGAGCGAAATATACTTTGCGCGACATGTTACTGCAAAAAGCGTCGTAATTAAAGTAGAAGCAGATATTGTTCCGAAAGAAAGAGGGCCCATGCTCTTTTTCTTGCCACTATACGGGGGAAGTGTGTGCGTGTGTGTGTGTGTGGGGGGGGGGGGGGGAGGGGGCAAAAGTAAGGAGACAAAAAAAAGAGTGAGAAACAAAAGCAAAAAAAAAAAAACACTTAAGATTCCGCCTGTTTAGCACATTTTTAAGCTTAATGAAGACGTCTTGTAACATTATTCCTGTAGGCCCGTGGGGATTCATTGAGAAGACGCAATAGAACTTCCGTAGCAATTGCCAGCTTTCCCGTCCTACCCCGAGCCTAGTCTTTCAGACACACACCTTGTTCACTAATCATCGCTTGCCCGTTCCAGGTCTGGCCGTGGTCTGCGCGATGCGCTTGCACAGAAACCAGGGCCGGCTTGCTAGAAACAGTATCTCAGCTGAGACCGGGTGAAAGAAAGCCCTGGCCAAAGCCAGCGCACGAGCTGAGAGGGACTCAAACCGCGACTCAAGACGCTCACGCGCCTCAGCCTTTGCAGTGCTTTCTTTCACTCAGTCACGGCTCAGACGCTGTTCTAGCAAGCCTTCCCAGATTTGCTTGATCGAGAGCAGCGCCACCACAGTGACGTGATGCCAGAGACGGGTATTGTTGCAAACATGGTTTTCATTGCGATTCGGCAGCCGCGATTCTAGTGATCTTGCCGGAAAGAACGTACCTTCCGAAGTATTCATTTCTCACCACGGCACTTGTTGTCGTCAAAACACAGAAGGAATGACCAGCAGCGTGTTTGGATGACATCATATGCAAGCCACGTAATAGAGCTTTAAGACTCAGGAGTCAGGTGGAGAAACAGTGTCAAACGGTTCCTTTCCTCAAGAAATATTGTACACCGAGCTCATTTGCAAGAGCACTCCCTCTAGTCATGGAGTGGTCTCGGGATGGATACCCGGGCCGGGCGGATTTTTTCAGCGGCCACCAGACGTCTAGAGGGCTCGAGTTGCGCTTCATTTCAGGTGGAAGCCAACATAAAATTGCGCAATTGCAAAAAAAAAAAAAAAAGAAAAAAAAAATATTGTTAGGCATTTGTGTTGCACACGTGACACGTTCTAGCATCAGAAACGTTTGGCGATACTCCGAGCTTTACGTATGCAGGGCTGATAAACCCGGCCATCTTCCAAAGCCTTCTTTATTCTCGAGCTCCTCTTTCTCAGTGCGCATAGGTAGTTGAGCTCCTCCTCCCTTACCTCCCCTACTCCTCTGGTCACGTGACCTGTCCCGTTAACGAATCAATACCGAGCTTCGTGGCCACGCTTATCAGGCTTCCCGAAATGCTGTATGAGCACCTAGACAAAGAACGTCTCACGTTAAAAAAAAAACGGCGGCCCATTTGATTGGACGTTCTCGCATGTGAAGCAGTTCAGGAACCTTTCTTCCCGATGGCGATTAGTCTGAATCTACTTTCATCCGAATGCAGTTCCCATCCCCATTTCGGTAAGCACATATTTTGTCTTGCGTAAAAGCGTCTAAGGCTGACTAAGTTTTAACTCTTGGCCGAGAACACTGTTGTCCGGTGCCTGGAACGCGTCTTCCAAGTTCCAATTGGTATGCCTAGCGCGTCCTATCGCGCCCATGCACCGAAAGTTGTCCAAAAAGGGCAGCGAATGACGTCACAGTGACGTCACCTGTCATGGTGTCGGATGTCGCGATCCCAGTGGTTGGACCAATAGAAGTGCCGAGCGGACGAGCGAACGCGAATGTCATTGTCGTCGTGGAGTCCCCTGACTGCTGAAGCTTCTGTACATTGTCAAGCTGGAAAGCGACTTGCAGCGGAACAGACTCCCGCCCAGTCCAGCGTGGCGGGACACCGCCAGGATTCCGGTCGTCGACGACACGACGCTTTTATGGCATCATTAGGCGGAACTCGGGGTACCACTTTTTAGTACGGGCTAAACGCACCAGTCGGAGACGCCCTACAGGCACCATAACGGTAGGTAGCGATGATAGGAAGCGGCCGTAACAGGCATGGTATCGGTTAGGCGGGTCGTGCCACAGCAAATTATTATTTTCCCTTTGATACCGTTACGTTCGTGCAAGGCCTCCTCTGGCTCTATTCTTCGCTGAACTCTCGTCAAGTTGGTTCTTCCAATTTAACACTTTTATACGACATTCTTTCCCTCGGTTTTATTAGTCTCTGTTTAGGCCTTGTTACAGATCTGTATTTGCTTACCTGTTTTCTTTTATTTTTACTACTGAATCTTGTAAATTCTGGAGACACGATCAAAGGAGCAAAAAACGGCAGCTTTCAGTACATAAAAGTAGTAGCATGCCAGCACATTCCTTCCTTTTCTTTCGCCAATAAAATTAACTAGGAAAACGAACAAGGCCATTCGCTTAGCCAGGAGATAAAGTAAACTCAAAGCCAGAATAAAAAAAATAATAAAAAAAAAACTTTCGTGGATTTTTGAATGGTCCGCCATAGGTGATTTTGTGTCTTATTTCCCGTTGCAGGTGCTAAAGCCTACTTGGCTTTAGATAGGTCTCCTAAACCTAGCTTATCCACCTATAAAAAAAATCGAAAATTTTGGAGAAAAAAAAATACATGTGCTTATTGAACCATTATCCCCCCCTTTTCCTCCCGTTCACAAGACGCCTCCGCCCCCTATCCCTCCCCCCCCCCCCCCCCCCTCACACCTTTAGCCCAAATACAAGATGCTATATATCCGCTCCACCGTCAGAGACAATACTCCCAAAATATCCAGACCCCCTCCAGCACGCATATCCTTGGTCATTAAAGCAGTTTTTGCTCCTGTGTTATAAGTTTCCCTCGACGTACTTCCAGCCAGAATCAATACGCAACTGAGTCCGCATGACGCCCCCGAGCTGCCTAATTTATGCAGTTTCTAACTCGGTCCGGGAGGCGCACTATTGTCAATGTTAATTCGATTAGGCCGGCGTGGAACTTGTGCTTGCAGGACACCCGTCCGCAGCTACGAGCGCTCTTGCGAGCGAAAGCTAAGGTCACAGAATCTTTAATTGGGTCTCCACAATTGGCTACACGCCTAAAAGAGACTAGGTTTCATGACGAGGACAGCACGGACGAGCGCGCGCTCGACGCCGCCGCAAATCAATTTTGCCACCGATTGCGCGGGCTGCGACTAAGCGAAGTGAGCGCAAAAAAAAAAAAAAGAAGAAAAAAGAGAAAGTCCTCGGGCGTTTTCCTTAACTTTTCATGATAGACGTAGACAGTTTTATTATTATTATTTCCGTTTCACTGCGGGTTGTTATTGAAAGGCGATAGGGTCGATATATTTCTTCGAAAGATTGGTAGTGACCAAAAAAAACAAGAAAAAAAAAACGCAAAGAGAGAACGGGGAAGAAAAGTGTACGGCATAAAGTATAGAAAAACGCCCATAAAAAAAAAAAAAACAATAAAAAAAAACATAACTTTGATCGCGTGCAACTTGACAAGGGAGCGTGGATATCGAGACCAGAGAAAAACAAAATCGAACAGAGATTTTTTTTTCTTTTTTGCTTTGCCGTCATCGTAAAGTAGGAATGCTCCGTCAAAACTTAATATATAACTAAAGTAAACACCCGCACTTCAGGCAACGACACCGCCAAGCGATAAGACGTGACTTGACGGCCGAAACTCAAACGACAGTTGAGGTCGCCGCGAGTTATCAACTGCCAAGATAAATATGTAGAAAAAAATATATTAATAATTTTATTCCGTCCCTCTCTCCATTGTTGAGGTTTGATTAAAAAAAAATTGAAGCTGACTGCGAATATTCCTTGTTTGGGTACCTGTCAATCACCGGCGCTGTAGAAACATCAGCAGGCGGCGCTGCGTGGATCAGAAGCTGCTTCCGGGTAAATCGAGCCGAACATTTTTTATTCATTTCAGCTTGACGTGGAAGACACGTGGCGACGTGGGAGGTGGTGACTGGCGACGCTCTGGCCTAACTAGAACCCGGGTAAGTGTTATCAAACGCTACACAACCAACACTTTTCCCCTCGCCATCGGTGACGTCGGTGATGTCGCGTTTGATTGGTAGAACCAGAAGTTATCGATAGTCAATTTAATGCATTGTCCCCTGCTGGAATGGCACTTTCCATTTTAATATCTCCCCTCGTCACCTCGGTTCGCCACTAGCTAAACAGGTGTAAGTGGAAAAAAAAAAAAGGAACATGCGATGCAATAAGTTTTAGAGAGTTTTAAATTAGAACAGGGGTCTCCTACGCCCTGGATCGCCAAAACCGTTTAGTACAAAGCGTTAGAGCCCGACCAATATTCTAAAACTGTCTATTAACAACGAGCAAGTTTCTGTCTGCTTTTTGCGCAGCGGGTACAGTACGATGACGTCAGAGTGAGGTACTCTGATTGAAAGGATAGTGGGCCGACAAAATGGCTAGCTGCCCTTGGCCCTATCGACTGCGTCCCCCTCTCCCTCCCCCCCCCCCCTCCTCCCCCGTTACAGCGAGCACGGTCAGCGTCTGCTCGTCGTGCAGTGGAAACTTGTGGCGTCAGGGTCAGGCTTTGGAGCGCCAAAAGCCGGAGTCGTGTGCTAGTCCTATCAATGGTGTCTCATATTTTCTATGGACTTCAAAAATCCACCGGTTCTTTACAAAGGAAAAATCAGCCTTTGAGAGAAAAAAAGTAGAGGAAATACTTTGAAGGGTGAATTGTCTTAATAGACTAACAACCGGTGACGCAAGCAGCTTTCGGGGGCGGAGCTTCGTCGTATACATGGGCACTGACTCTCACAGCAGGCGAGCACCTTCTCTCATACAGAAATCACGCGTTTGAGTTGATTTGCGTGCCGTATAATCCGCGGCACAACACGTGCACGTGATCTCCCGTTGAAGTGCTGTACTGTACAGGCTGTTTCCAAGCGCTATTCGGAAACAAAAAGTACAGTTAAGCTTTTCACCAAGGTGTCTGCAGGTGGTGAATTTATCATACTAAAATTTTATGACTGTAGATTTAACGAGTAAAAAATATTTATCTTTAAAACTTGTTTATTTGTATGTTTTCATGCCTAGGGAGGAGAACGGTAAAACCGCCTTGTTGAAGCTGGTCCTTTCAGATGACAGAGTGTAACGCAAAAAAATGTGAAATATTCTTTGAGATGAACACCCGAAAGCAGATGCTGTCCCATCCGTGAGTAAAAGCGTCATCCACACGGTTTTTAACGTTTTCCTTCTTGTGCAAAAAATAAACAAAATAAATTTCACATTCACTCATGAAATTTTAGTACGATAAATGCACCACCTAAGGGCATCTATATTGTCATGGGTGGTGACCAATAAACAAGAAATAAACAGTAATAAATAAACGTTTTATGTGGCGAACTTGTGCCAAAAATAAAAGGGTACAAAAGATAAGAGAGCGTCGCGGGCGTCGAAGTCGGCGTAACAGCAGAGTCGAACGCTGGGGCGAAACTGACTGTGGCTCGCCACGCGGAGCCCCTTATGTACATGAGTGGTCTTCTGGAATAATCGGCGTAGAAACTTCGACGCGTAGAACATTCGGGCCTGGAACAAGCAACATGATTCTTGAATTCTCCAGAACACTAAATTGCAGGAATAAACAAAAGACACGTCACTCCCAGGATTCGAACCCTACCTTTTCGCGTGGGAGGCAAGCGCGATAATCGTTAGGCCACGCGCGCGCTGCCTACTTGGCCGGCTGCGCGCGCGACATTACTCCCCCCTTTAAAAAGTGCAACGACCCGATGCAACCCAAGAACAAAACAAATAAAAATAAGGGTAAACTAAAGAGTCCTTTGGAACATATAAGGTCCACAGTCCTATCTAGCGTAGTACGGCTTCAGTCGCACGACGTGGACGACTTCCGGTCGTGGTGGGCGGCGTGATGATGTTCTTGTTCCGTCGGGCATCACCTCGTAGTTCAGGTCCCCGAGTCGACGAAGCACATTGTAAGGTCCAAAGTAACGTTTCAAGAGTTTCTCGCTGAGACCGCGGCGGCGAATCGGTGTCCACACCCACACCCTGTCTCCTAGTTGGAAGTGGACGTCCCGACGACGAAGGTTGTAGCGGCCAGTGTCGATACGTTGTTGGGCTTGAATCCGGAGTCTGGCGAGCTGACGGACTTCTTCTGCCCTTTGGGCAACCACCTGGGCGTCGTCGCTTGCGTCGACAGCCGATTCGTGGGGTAACATAGCGTCCAACATTGTCGTTACCTTGCGCCCATGCACCAAAAGGGTGTCACTCCGATGGTTTCTTGTATGGCCGTGTTGTAGGCAAAGGTGACATACGGCAACACCTCGTCCCATGTCTTGTGCTCCACGTCGACGTACATGGAAATCATGTCGGTGATGGTCTTGTTGAGTCTTTCCGTCAGCCCGTTGGTCTGAGGGTGGTACGCCGTGGTGCGACGATGGCTGGTGTGGCTGAGACGAAGGACTTCTTGTGTCAGCTGGGCCATGAACGAGGATCCACGGTCTGAGATCAGGACTTCGGGAGCGCCGTGCCGAAGGACAATGGATTCAATGAAAAACTTGGCAACTTCCACAGCCGTTCCGAAAGGAAGGGCTTTCGTTTCGGCGTACCGCGTGAGATAATCTGTGGCGACGATGATCAGCGATTTCCTGACGTCGACGGCGGAAAAGGGCCAAGTAGATCCATTCCGATCTGCTGGAAAGGTGCCGTTGGCGGAGGAATTGACTGCAAGAGTCCGGCCGGCCTCGTTGGAGGGTTCTTTCGTCGCTGGCATTCATGACATGATCGTGTGTATAGGTGGACGGTTTTGGGGAGCTTGGGCCAGTAATACTTTTCACGAATACGGGCCAGTGTCCGGCTGTAACCAAGGTGTCCGGACGTCGGGTCGTCGTGGCAGGCTTGGAAGATCTCCTCTCGAAGGTCGGTCGGGATTACCAGCAGCCACGTGGAGTTGTTGTTGCCGAAGTTCTCTTTGTAGAGAACTCCTTGTCTAATGGCGAAGGTCGGCAGGGCTCGTTAAAAACGCGTGGTATGGCACTCCCACGCCCTTCCAGGTGCTCTATTAGTGCACGCAGCTCAGGATCGTCTCGTTGACGTCGGGCCATGTCGTCGCTGTTCACTGCGCCCAGGAAACACTCGTCGTCATCGTCGTCGCTGCTGTCGGAGGGTGTTTCGACGGGAGCTCTGGACAGGCAGTCGGCGTCGCTGTGCTTGCGGCCCGACTTGTAGACTACGGTCATGTTGAACTCTTGTAGTCGGAGACTCCATCGCGCAAGGCGTCCTGACGGGTCCTTGATGTTCGCAAGCCAGCAGAGCGAATGGTGGTCCGTGACTACGCGGAACGGGCTTCCGTATAAGTACGGACGAAACTTCGTGATCGCCCAGACGACCGCAAGGCATTCTTTTTCAGTCGTGGAGTAATTTCGCTCCGTCTTGGACAATGTCCGACTTGCGTAGGCGATGACTCGCTCGGTGCCCTCTTGTACTTGAACCAGTACCGCGCCAAGTCCTGCGTTACTTGCGTCCGTGTGAATCTCGGTTTCCGCATCCTGGTCGAAATGTCCAAGAACAGGAGGCGCCTACAATCGTCGCTTCAGCTCGTCAAATGCCTGCTGCTGCTCCTCGGCCCATTCGAACTTCTCGGCGTCCTTCGTGAGGCTTGTGAGTGGTGCGGAAATCCTTGCGAAGTCTCGAACGAAGCGCCGATAGTAGGCACATAGCACAAGGAACCTTCGCACGGCCTTCTTGTCCGTCGGCGCTGGAAATGCTGCGACGGCGCGAGTCTTCTCTGGGTCGGGGCGAACGCCTTCGTTACTGACCACGTGACCTAGGAACTTCAGCTCGTCGTAGGTGAACCGACACTTTGACGGCTTCAGGGTGAGTCCGGCGGTTCGTATGGCTTGGAGAACAGCTTGTAGTCGTCGCAGGTGCTCGTCAAAGTCGCTGGAAAACACTACGACGTCGTTGAGGTAGACGAGACAGCTCTGCCACTTCAGTCCTGCCAGTACGATGTCCATGACACGCTGGAAAGTTGCTGGCGCCGTGCACAGTCCGAAGGGCATCACCTTGAACTCGTACAGCCCATCCGGCGTGACGAAAGCTGTCTTCTCTCGGTCCCGTTCGTCGACTTCGATCTACCAGTAGCCGCTCTTCAGGTCCATCGATGAAAAGTATCGGGAGTGGCGCGGCCGGTCTAACGTGTCGTCGATGCGGGGGAGTGGATAGACGTCTTTCTTCGTCACCGCGTTCAGTTGCCGGTAGTCCACGCAGAACCTAAGTGTTCCGTCCTTCTTCTTAACCAGTACGACTGGAGAGGCCCAGGGACTGCTTGAAGGTTGGATTATGTCGTCGTTCAGCATCTCTTGAACTTGCTCCTGGATCACTTCCCTTTCTTTAGCGGAGACTCTATACGGTGACCGATGCACAGGCCGCGCGTCGTCCTCGGTAACGATGCGGTGCTTCGCAACGGTGGTTTGGCGCACCTTTGACGACGTGGCAAAGCAGTCGCGGTATTCGGTGAGGAGGTCACTGAGCTGTCGTCGTTTCAGGCCCAGAAGCTTAAGGTCAATGTCGAGCTGCGCTGGCGACGTACTGTCTTGGTGAGGTGGCGAGGATTCTTCAGTAATGGTGGCGATAGCGGCGGAGTTTCGGAGTTCCTCGACCTGGCCCGCAGCTGTACCTTTTGTGAGGTGTTGCGCTTCATTTCGGAAGTTCGTCACGAGGACCACAGTGCGGCCATCCTCAAGTTCAGTAACTCCTCTTGCGACGCATATTCCTCTTCCAAGAAGCAACTGGAGGCTTCCTTCGAGCAGAACTTCGCCGCAGAAAGCTTCGGTGATCCCGACGGGTACGAAAACACTCGACCGCGGCGGTAAGTTCACGTGGCTTGCGAGGACTCGGACCGCAGACGACGTCGCTATGGGTTCCTCCGGTGGTGAAACAGGTTTTCGTAGCGTTAACCGGTTTGCTCCGAGGTCGATGACGGCGCCATACTCGCAGAGGAAGTCCATTC